GGTGAGGGCACATGTCCAAGAGGAGCAAGGCCTGGATTCAATGCCTTGTCAGCACAAAGGTTCTACACTCCAATCTTCCATCTCCCCGGAGTGTGACTTTGTCATCAAATTATAGGATAAACTGGGAAATCAGCCTGCTCATATTCTATTGCTGTTATTACACTAAATCACACAGAATAAGCATGACACCACAGTAAGAAAGAAAATAAATGGGAATGTGATCACTCCTGTAAGGAGGTTACTCTCCAAAAGGAAAAGGTCCTGGGTTCCCATCTTTGTCTTCAAAATGCTGTGTTTTATTAAAAGGCTTTATAGCGTAAAAGGTACCAAAATCTGGCAGATTTAACTAGTGACACTTTCAGCGTGCTCTGCATCTTTTGAGAAAAACAGTCCAAGCTTAAGTGATCATGACACACAAGCACCCTAGCTCAAACCTCAACCAGTCCTTGTCATCAGCAAAAGCAAACAAAAAGCCAAGTTTTTTTAAAAATGTTTCTCTGGAATAAACACTTTGCAAAACTCAGAAAAATAATCACTTCAGAAGTTATTTTTCTAAGTACATGAAAACTCAAATATAAATCTCAGAAGAGATACCACCTATCAAGCTTTCACGTGATTGCGCCTATCAAATAACATATGCACAGAAGTCAGTTTCAGCATTTGAAATATGTTCAAAATGACAAATCGGGATTGAATATAGACAGCCATGGAATATACTACACTTTATGTTGTTCAACCTTTTTACCTGTCTAGATTTCTGTGAAAAGCAACAAAGTATAAAATACAGGTCTAACCTAACTTAAGTGACGTAAAATATTTCCTGTATGCCTTTTTAAGCTGTCAGCCCATAAAATCAGGGATTTCTCTTGATCCAGAGAAGGAATACTATTTTTTAAAGAATGCTAAAGAATCATGAAACAGACTAGATCAATTTTCTGCGGCAAAGAACTTTTTCTATCTAGTGCCTTTAATAAGGAACAATGTCTTTTTTCACAAGAAGCTTTCCCAAGTTAAATAGTAATGAAGCCTTATGTAAAAGTATATAAATATACACAACACAAAGATTCTTTGTTTTTATTCTAGCAAACAGGTGTCAGAATTTTATTGGCAGGCCAACTACTTATATCCCTTCTGTCAGCAGTAGGTGTCATCTTCAATGAAGATGTGATTTATCTCACTCAACAGTACACCCAACCAGGGCTCTCATAACTTTTATTTTTAATTTTTTTGTTCTCTTTTTTTTTTTTTTTAAAGAAAAAAAGGCAAGAAAAACAAACTTTAAAACTAAGACATTTCCAGAGGCAAATTTATCTCGCCCCAGAATAGGCTCCTGAAACAGCTTGGATGAATGACCCACAGGAGATAGCCTTTCTCTAGAATAGCTCTGTGAACTACTGTAACTAGCTCAAACTTCAGTACTCACTCTTAAACATTTGAAAATTGACAAGAGAAAAATCTAGCCCCTGTTTGCACATTTACCCATTCCAGGAATTGTACCAAAGAGAAGATTTCAGTTAATGCTGGGATCCATTCAAAGCCCGTGGCAGTCAGCTACAAGCAGGTGCACCCTCATCTCCTTCTCTCACAGATGACCTATTTAAAAACTAAACATAATATCAAAAATCTTAAAAACACAAAGAAAATATCATTAAAATTAGGCAGAAATTTTTATTTATGTTCACTATACTTATTATTTATGTTTATTTATGTTTCATTCAGAGCTATACATTAATAAACATGCTCATAGAAGCAATGCAAAGACAAAGCAGCTGCTTAACTTGGCTAAAAAGAGGCCTCTGGTGGCAGCTGTGAAGAATAACTTCTCAGATTTATGAAATACCTATTTTGATGACATAATTTTCTACATAGAAACAGATACAGAAAGCAGACTAAGCAGTTAGATTTGCAGTGAAAATTTTGACATTACTGCTCATCTCCAAAGGCCTAACCATTTCAGCCGACCCTTCTTCATGCCTACACCACAATTATCCAAACTGAGGGATGTGTCTTTATGTCGAAACCCAAAGTCCTGCTCTCTAATAAGATCGCAGCACAGACTCCCATCAGCAGAGAAGCATGCATCCCAGCACCAGCACAACAGCAATAATGTTGCAGAGTATCACATGCACCATCCTTTTTCTCT